CAAAACGTTGAAACAACTCATCGGGAGTTTGATTCTGGTATTTCGTAACTACTTCCTAGAACCACATTAAAGGTTCTCCAGAGAGAGTGTATTGAAACATAGCCTTGAGACGATGAGGTTTCTCTTCAAGTGCAAGAACAATCAATAGGTAAGTGATGATGTGATTTACAAGATGACCTTTCCCGTTGAACTTGTTTTCAAACTGAGGGAATTCGAAACCCGGAGGAAGAGGTTCGACTTTCTCAAGAACATCCTTGACGTAAGATCTTGGAGGAAGTATATTTGGAACTCCAATATTAGTCAGGGTCTCTTTCAATGTGGTTAGTTCGCCATTCAGTTCGGCGAGCTCAACTGACTCAGGGGTTTTGACCTCAAAAGTCTGTTGGGTGCCTAGAACTGATAGCATAATTTGTGGTACAAGAGATGCAGTTGATATGGGCTGCAACAGATTAGAGGCAGGCTGAATCTGCGAGATGGCTGGATCCAGATAGAGAGGTGGTGCATACATAGGGGCTAGTTGACAGGATATCCCAGGTAAAGATGGCTGGAGGCTAGAGATGCAGCCGGAGGGTATAGAGCCGACAGATATGGCTGACTTGGAGTATACTAAGTTAGAACAGGGGTTGAATAGGCCGCCTGCGAATAATGGTGTGGGACCAAGGTGGCTTGAAGAGGCTACGCCGGTGGGTAACTGACTATACATGAAATGAGGAGGGTCAGGTCTTAAGTGAATATGGGATGGACGGTCCTGTGGTCGAGCCGATTCTATGAAAGGTGGAGGACGAGAAGATTGGCGGTGCCGGCTCTCCAACGGGGTAGAACTCACATGACTTTGTTGTTCAGGGGCTAGAGAGGTCCCATGACTCTGACCTGACTGATGACTCGACACACTAGGAGGGGCGTGTGACTCAACAAGGGCAGCACGCCTCAAGAAAGCCTTGACCTCGTGTAAGTTCTTAAAACACTCGATTGGAAGAGACTCGTAATCCATAGAATTGGACAAGGGTGAACTTTGAGGAATAGAGGCATGGCTTAAAGAACTCTTGGGTTTAGGTGAAAATATCTTACTCTCTCGTTTTCCTTGGTGGTTAACCTTGCTTGGGCCCTGACTTAATCTTCGGCAGTACTCTAAGTCTAACAGGTTAGCCTGCCTGATGAGCTCATCATCTGGGTTGCTCTGGACCTTACTGGGTTGGTGGCCCCTAGAATGGGTCTTTTGAGGAGGTGGGTAGTATGCCCCTAATTGGGCAGCATCAACTCTAGGTTTTGACATAGAAGGGTAGTGTGCCCCTAGTTGGGCAATGTAACCCTTAGACTTGGACATTTGTGGTAGCTTCACCCCTGATTGAGTTGCATCTTTCTTAGACCTAGACTTAGAAGATGAAGGTGGGTTCAACCCTGGTTCTTTAGTCTCAGGTCGAATGCCCAGACTATTTTGAGTAGCTCGAGCCAGGCAGACTTGCTAGACTATACGGCCTGGCTGGACTACCGATGGGCTAGCTAGGCTTAGCCCTGAGTGTGGGATTATGGACCCACTAAAACTCGATATTGACTGACTTGAGACAGAGTAGACCCAAGGAACTGAGCCATAAGATTTTGTAGGTCTTGTCATCCAAAGGGGTCTAGACTATGCAGTAGACATACTGAGCACCATAAACTATGGACATAACTACAAGACTCTGCAAAAAAATCTCTTCTTTTTTTTTTAATATTACCCCCCCTTTGTTTTTCAATCTATCTAAGAAATATGTATTTTAAAAAATGAGATAAAGATGGTTCTAAAAGAAAAAGATTTTTTTTTCTAAAAAAAAAGATAAAGTCAAGAAATTTCTAAGTTATGCAGATAAATAAGGCTGAAAAGCAACATATAAGATAAAAAAAAAAATGAGATCTATTTCTAATCTAAATAGGTAAAGCAGAGAAAGCCTAGATCTATCTTCTATTTTTTTCCTTTTTTTTTTTAAACAAAATTATTTTATCAAAAGAGATAAAGATTCTTTTTTTTTTTTTAGAAAAGCTTTTTAAAAGATAAAAATGCATATAAAGAAGTTAAGTATGATCTAAAGAAGATGAAAGATGATACTAAAGAAGATAAAGCTGCTTCAAAAGACGATTAAGACACTTCTAAAAAAGCTCAAGATGATTTAAAACATGATAAAGAATATTCTAAAGAAGATAAAGACAAAGATGATCTTAAAGAAGAAAAAGATGATCTAAAGATGATGAGCATGAATGAAAGAAGATCAAAAAAACATAATCAAGATGGATCTAACGATGATAAAGAATAACATATAAAATGACAAGGATTGATCTAAAAGATGATCTAACAATGATCTAAAAGGTAAACCTAAAAGATGATCTAAAGATAAAGATGATCAAGATGGATCTAAAAGAAGATAATAAAAATTAATCTACAAGATGATAAAGATTGATCTAAAGATGATCTAAAAGAAAGATCTAAAGATGATCTAAAAGATAGACCTAAAAGATGATCTAAAGATAAAGATGATCAAGATGGATCTAAAAGAAAATCTAAAAAAAGATAATAATGATTGATCTAAAAGATGAATCTAAAAGAAGATAATCTAAAAGATCATAAAGATTGAGAGAAAAAAATATCTTAAATTTTTTATAGAGAGTGAAAAGATAAGATCTATAAATAAAAGATAGAATCTAATAAAAGGAAATCTTTTCAAATCTACTTTGTTTTTCTTCTTTTTAATTTTTTTATTTTTGTTGGAAAAATAAATATCAGAAAAAAAAAAAAAAAAAAAAAGCTTTTTGAAGTCTAAAATAAGGATCTAAGGCTCAAGGTGCCCAACGGTGGGCGCCAAAATGTTTACACTCTGATCTACGCCGATCTCTGAGATGAAATTTGCTCAAATCTTAACAAAACTAAGTTATTTTTTAAAAGGTAGAGAAAGTGGGGTCGCTTGAATGATGGGCTCAGAAAAAATCCCAGATCTATACAAATCCGGTCTTTTTCTGAGTCTACTAGCAGCGCCAGTTCCAAATCCGTATTTTGACCTAAAAAAAATACTTCTAAATTTAATTAAATCTAATTATAAATTAATTTCCAAAAAAAATAAAATAAAATAAAGAATTAAATGAAGAAAAACAAACTAAATTAAGCAAATAACGATATACTTTTTTGGATGCTTTTGCTTGCTGGAATTGGTAGATCTAAGGTTCTTTGACCTAGATCTAGGGTTCCTAAGGCAGGAGAAAAAACTGTGAATTTTAGGTAGAGTCTACTTAGGCTTTTCTTGGAATTTTTTGGGATTAGAGAAGAATTTCCTTAGTTTTCTAAAAGTTTTGGGATCTCCAAATGTTGAATATGAATTATGGGATTTTCTGTGATTTTTTTGGATTTTTTCTAATTTTTCAACAATTTTCCAAAAAAATTTCGTAACTATTTTTCTACTTTCTAGAATTTTTAAAGGATTTTTTAACATTTTTTTTTTTTTGTTATGGAGGGGGTATTTATAGGACTTAATTGGAGACTTTTCTTGATTTTTTAGGAAATGTTTTGGATTTTTTTGGATTTATCTTGAAGTTTTAGCCTTATCTAATTAAAAAAAACACGTTTACTGCATCATCAGGCTGCATCTGGGCCTACCGGGCAACATCATGGCTTGGCCCGTGGCTCAATACTTGAGACTAAATTGTCATTTGTTAGATCTTTTTATCCGTAGGTCCGATTCAGACGATTCTTGAACCATTGGAGAGCTCTCGGGCTCTACTTCAAGTTGGGATAGGTTTTGCGCAATTTTGGGACAATTATACTGGGTCTAGGTTAATTAATTCTCTACTTAGGGTTGGTGATTTTTGTGAACCTGCAATAAATGGAAGGGACCGAGGAATGGGGACTCCCATAAATATACCCCGTGATCCCAAAGATGAGTTGATTAAAGACCTTAAAAGGCAAGTTCAGCAGCTTACGCAGTAGTACATGGACATCACTCATGACAAGACGGGGATCTTTCGTCCCATGAAGATGCTGAATTATATCCTTTTCACCATGGTGCTCCACATATGGAGTCAAGTGCTAAGGACAACGACCAAAGGCCTAGATGTGGGAGGCTGGTGTCTAGGGTAATCAAAATAAAGGTTGATATTCCTTATTTTTATTCAGGTTGTAAATTGGAATCTGCCACCAATCTTCGATGCATGCACAGATGACGCGGGCAATGATCTAATTTTTTTTGAAGAACCGAGCGACAACAAGGAAGGTGGCATTGGTCTAGATGAAGATGTATAAGTTTTGGAAGAGGAATTTGCTGATTTGGTCAGCAATTTGGGGAGATGATCATCTCAAAGATGCTCCCATGGTCTATTCTAGAGTTGAGCCAAGGCAATTTCAGCAGAGCTATATGGCTGAATTGATGCAAGTTTAGCTTAGTTCATATGACTGAACTAAGCATATATATCACAGTTATTCCATTTACAAAGAACGACCCTTTCCTCGAGTGTTTCTCATAAGTGTTTAAGAATATATCAATGGACTTTAATTTCAATGGACAATCGTTGTGATTAGTCTAATAACCCACAAGTACTAGAATCATGTTTATAATGCTCGGGTTAAAGAAGATTTTCATCTTAGCCTATTTCAAACTCGAGAAGAGTTTTCTCCAACCAAGGGAGATTGATGCAAGACAAGATAACTCTTGTTTTTAACTTTTTTCTTATTAAATTTTAGGATGCATTTTTTTAAGTTTTCGGATTTACTTTTGAGGTTTTTGAGAAGAGAACCTAGGTTTTTTTTTTTTGGAAGTGTAAGAAAAGCTAGTTTCTTATACTTTGTGAATACGTTTTACATATTTTTGGCGGTAATATTTATCAAAAGGGTTTTCCTCTCAATCAATACAAAAACTCGACAAAACGACTTTGGGAACTACTCTTTGAAGAACAATTTGTAGCAAACAACCAGCATAATACTTAATAACAAAATCTAATGCATCGTTCAATTCAACTCAAGAAAAGAAAGGCCAAAATCTAACCTCTCCACCATCATCAAGAACAAAGACTTCACCATGCTCGAAAGGAGACATGGTTCCAGCATCTGTATTCAAATATGGATCTGAACAACATTCCAGAAAGAACAGAATATCACAACTCGATACAGCAGAACAACAACATCTAGAAGAAGGGTAAATAAGCAGCAACTCAAAAAAAAAATACAAGAAGAATGATAAATGAAGAAAGAGCGAGAGCTAACCTATTTTAATGGAGGTAACACGAAGGCCACATGCTTTAAGCACTACGCCAACACTACTGGCTGTCACACCCTTTCCAAGCCCGCTCACGACTCCCCCTGTTACGAGTACGTACTTCATCCTCTGTCTCTTCTAAGACAGCTCTCTCTCCCTTCTTTCTCTCTCTACTGTTTTGAAACGCTAGAGAGTTCTCTGTCACAGCTGAAGCACGACGGAATGGGTCTCTTTTCCCTCTCTCTCCTCAATTGAATTCTCTCCCGAGGTGAAAAACGAGGCAAATGAATTTCGAGGTTTCTCTCTCTATCTCTATCTCTATCCCGAGGTGAAGAATCTCTCCCGTCGGATGAAGAGGGAAATGGAAACCTGATTCACGGTAATTCGAGGGAAGAAATAAAAAGCTAACCGCAAGCTAGGTTTTAAAAGCGTAGGTTTTTATCTCTTTCAATTTTTAAAAAATTAGGGGGGATTTATTTAAAAAATGAAGAGACCTTCCATAAGATTTAAAAGATCATCATTAAATTTGACATAGATTTCTAAAAAAATTATCATATAAGTAGAGAATTGGACTTTTCTAAAGATCTATACTAAATTTGATGGTGATCATTTTGGGTCTTATTCACATGGGTATGGGAGGGTCTCATAGGATCAGTTCTCATATTATAATTGAACTTAATTTTTGTATATAATATAATTGAACTTAATTTTTGTAATGATAGTTTTATCCTTGTGAACATTATTTGTGAATAGTACTTATGAAATAAACAAAAAACTATAAAAACTGTAAAATTTTAAAAAAAATTAAAAATCCCTAAAAATAAACTCTAAAATTAAAATTAGGAAAAAGTTTATATAAGATTGCAATCTTAAAATGTTGAATTACAAATGCACCTCAAAAATCCATCGGAAAAAGTTGTTTTAATGTTGAAAAATCCTCTAACTAATCATCTTGATATCAAGATGTATGAATATGAAAAAATAAACAAAAATAATGCATCTTGCAACACATTATCTAGACCGTCCATTTTCAAGATTTTCATATGTTTATAGATCTACTTGATTTTAACTATTTTTAGAGTTTAAAATTTTATAATTATATATGAAAATAGATTTTTAGATAATCCTAATATCTTTTTACGTAAAAAATTCATGTTATGATAAAATTTGGAGGTGCGCCTTAATTGAATTATTTAAGGTTGCAGCCTTATAGAAACCACATCCTTAAAATTATAATATACATCATTTGAAGTTAAATAAAAATAAAAAATTAATATAATTTCCCTCTATCATTCTTCTTTTGTTGTTGAAAACCCGTCCTCAAGTTTTAAATTGTGCTAAGATGAATTCAATATTAAAAACACATTCTTCAACCTTGTTTTTTTTTTTCGGCTCAAATATTATTCAATGTGAAAGAAATTATGCAAGAAATAGATCATGATATATATTGAGGAATCAATATAACTTTACCAAATATGGATATCCTTTAACTTCATTTGAAAATTGTGTAAGATACTCCAAACTCTATTTTTTTGTCTTTAAATGCTTTTTCAACATTTATTTCATTACTCTCAAAATCTAAGGCAACGATTTACATATTATGGGTCAACCATGTTGTTGGCTTTATATGGCCTTTAAAAGCCTTATGAGTGTGTAAGGAAAAACACGAACATAAACTCAGTGGGAGTGTGGTTCTTCGAAGACCATATTAAGCAAATGATATTTGCAGATAATGGACTGTGTTTGACGATCTAGGCCAATCGGTTGGAAAGCCCAATGTACCTGGGTATAAAAATAAACCGAGAAGGGTTTTTGGGTTAACCCTTGACGAGGTCAGAGCTTATACCTAGATAAGTGAGTCGACAGACTGTGTGACCCTTGTGTGTAATAGTAGGCCTACAGAGACGGGGGCCAAAACCTCATCCTTGTTCCATCACACGGCATGCATATAGATAGATTGTTCGAGAAAGCTAGATATCCACCTTTTGGGTGAAGCATATGCATGTGCGAGAGATACCCCTATGCGCCATAGAGCTGTGGTCGCATCAGGTTGTGGTGACCTTGACTTGTTTTCTAGGGGAGGACCTATAACCCAAAGACTGAGATTGCGACTCCTTGGCGAATCAACCAGACTTTGATGACCTGCTAATGAGCCCCTGCTTGGACTGTGGGTCATGGAAAACACTGGATCGGTTTGATAAAGCAAGTGTGGTCTGTAGTCCACAGTTGAAGGTGGAGTACCCTGTGATCGTTGATTGAATTCCTAAACCATATGGATCCACTTCCTATCATATTAATTTAATTGTATTGATTTTATTATTAAATTATTTTAGATTTATTATTTGAATTTTTGTAAGTCATTTGATATTTTATGTCTTATTTTTGGACTTATAAAAACGGAATTA